GTATTTTGATAAATAAAAATTCTCTGTAACTTCAGATATACCCAAACCTAGATATCCATATTGCTAGATTCCCTCAGCCTGAGGGCATAACATAGATAGATGCATCAAAAAAAGGTGAGAGAGTGTTAAATTGTCTCTTGTTAAAACAGGAGATAAATTACGCTTGAGAGAGGAGTGCTTTTCTTTTTACACGCATCAGAAACTTCTGTGACCTTTCGCGGCAGGAATTTTCACGTTATACGTATACCGCGACAATTATAATGAAAGATATGGAAAGAAAACAACCGTTATCTCACAACATACTTTGGGGCGTGCTAAGAAAATGTTTCATATGTCATCACAAAAAATTGTTTACTTGAAGGTTTTTGAACTAGCGACTTCAGGCTGGACGAAGATTAGAAGAGTCTAGATCCGAAGCCATCGAAAAACAACAGGAGTAATTTTAATCAAGGCAAGTCTGTCCGCAAGAAGTGAAACTTTAGAAGAAAAGCAATTATCATTTGCTAGCCAGAGGAAAAAAAACAAAACGGTCAAAAATAGATTCTCCTGCGTTGCATCAGAGGGAAAGAATTCAGTCTACTTGACTGGGGTCTCGTACGCTCTTGAAAAGACGAAATGTCCTCCTCCATGTGTAAAACTGTGTTGAAGCTATCGACTTCGAAAAACATCTCGCGAAAAATAAGCGAGGACAGATCAGCGAAGAGAAGTGAAAATTCCTTAGCACCGAGCGCGAACGAGAAACTCGCGCAAAGACGAAAAAGAAGTTTATCACTCGATCCACAGATTCTACTTCAGTGGGCTGCAGCCCATAATGATGTGGACACGTTAAAATCTGTAGTGGAAGGTTCAAATGTGGATATCAACGAACCTAGTTTGGATGGATTTTACCCTTTACATCGCGCTGCGAGTGCGGGTAGCTTTGAAAGCCTTCAGTATCTTGTAACAAAAGGAGCGCAGCTTGATGTGAGCGACAGAGATGGCTCGTCCCCTTTGGACGCTGCGGTTTGTGAGGGAGAATTCGATTGCGCGCGCTTTCTGATTGAGAAGGGCGCCAACATTACTCACATTCGAGACGGTTTTACGGACAAGAATTTGGCGAGGAACCACGGACAACGAAAGCGATCCCAGACCATACAGTAGCGACATGGCTCGACATAAGTAAAAGTATCACCACAGCTATATTTTGATTGGTTTTTGGGTTTTCTACAAGAAAAGCGCTTAAAACATCACAAATGACCTTAATACAACATGTAAACCTTTCAACAAACCTAGAAGCTAAACAGGCTGAACATTGACTCTGTGCAGCTTCCGTACTGCAGGGAAACTATGAAGTAGGAATATTTGTTCCCCTCCAGACTGTCCTGTTTAGAGATAGACATTAACGTTCTATTGTCTTCGGAGCCCTGAGTAAATAGTTTTATCGATAAGACAAAAATTAGATAAAGATACAAAGTGCTAATGGACCTTGGAGTTTGAAAAAATATTGATATTACATAGCATTGTAAATTTCATTAGGGCTTCGATTTTATAGCGTGTTGGCTTAATACCAAATAAGAAAATAGCATCACGATTTTTTGAACTCGTGAACGGGCACGTTAGACATGTTAAATTCTGCGGTTTTCCGTATCTACCTGGTATCTACCAGTAATTAAGCGAAACTGAGTTGTTGCCCATGTTTTGCGTGCGTAAGAGCTTTTCTCGTTTTCCCTTTTTAAAATGTATTATTTAAATATCACTTTGATCATTTCTTAAAGTACGATTTAAGAAACACATGCAGTTGTTGTTCAAGAAGACGAATAGACCATGGTTTTCTAGTAAGCTTTTGTTTGTTTTTAAATGTTTTCGGAGTCGCGTGTTTTGCATTTCGTGACCATTAGAGTGAAATTTTGCTGTAACTTAATATATTGATGTTTCTGCTCTGTTTGGTCTAATCGCACGCAAAACCTGCTATCTACAGTTGTCAACATATGAGATCATGCTGTGTTTGTCCCAATTGTAGAGTAAACTCTAGGAACTTGTAAAATTATGTGTTTTGGGGTTTAAATCAATATTTCATGTTTCATGGGTTAAGATAAAGACAAAACAAACTGAATTCTGCCTTAACCTCAACATTTTTGTCATTTTATAATATAATGCCATCAAAATTCCACGACGTGCGTTCACATTGAAAAACTGCTTCAATGAGTAGGGAGGGGTGATGTGGAGGGTCGTTGCCCCTGGCTTTAGATGGGGATAAAAATCGATATTGCCTACCCCACCCTGCCTTAAATCTTGCACCTGTTTTCAGTCATATGTTCAGTTGGCTTTTACCCACACAGCTGAAAGAGAAAACCACATTTCATTCCTTGTGCCTAATGACGACTTTATAGCGACGAGCACGAACTTGAAATCCGCTAAACGGATGAATGAAAGAAGCATGTCTGAGACAATTTGTATGAATGCAACGTTACTGTTCAAGAGATCGAATGGAACCAAAGCCGAAAGTGGAAGAATCAACAGAAGCATGGAAAAAGTGTAGAAATAAAGATTACGCTTTCGTTCTCCCTCAAAAGAACTCATTTAATGTTCCAACGAGCTTTTCCCTCAACATTCAAGTTTCACTTAAATCACAGGCGTGCTGCTTCGATTAGCGATTGAAAACATTTAGTTTATTAGGGAGTTTAATTCGCCGTATATTTCAACGGTTCATGTTTCAAAGAATGAAGCCCGTCAAAAGAATTTATATTACTGAGAACGGATTTCCAGCTGGTAGTTCTGGCTTTAATTAATTACAGTTGGCTGGTTTTTCCGACAAAACGTTTTCGTTATGCAAGACAACTCTGATGAATGGCCTCAGATCCGATAAGATAAGATTCAGTACTTGTAAATTCAATTCTGCAAGAAATCTAGTATCTACAATTTCACAATAACTGCAGAAATTCTCGCGCGCTCATTGGCTAATTTCATTGTCAGTATGCGGACAGACACATGAATTTATAATTTATGCGATGCCTCAACGAGCGAGAGTGGACAATTTGACAATTTGTTATCGTAAAAAACAAATTGACGTCAGTTTTTCATGCGTCTGTCCTGTTATTGACAATGAATTTCGTCATAACATTGTCAAAGAAGTGTGCGGATCCACAGCTACTTTGAAAATGCTATGACGAAATTCATGATCAATAACAGGACAAACGAATGAAAAACTGTCGTCAATTTGTTAACTAGACCATAATCGATTAATCTTGTTTCCAGGCTTCCCCCAAATGCCACAGGAAAGCCCTGGAAACGAAGTTGTAAAAGTTGTCGCTTTGACCTGTACAAAATTTGAATTACCCTTCGGTTATCATGGTTACGAGCTGACATGACCGAGGTAACGAAGTGACACGACTAAGTCTAATATTGGTTCGAACAAATACAAATGTAAAAAAGTTGTCAAAACCCCAGTTCTTTAATTTGCATGATGTTTTGGTTGATATGTCTTGTTACTCTACTGATAATTATAACGTACCGCAAACACCAAGGGGGCATGTTGTAAGGACATGAAGCAGGTACAGTTTTTCTTCTGTGACATACCAGCTTTTGCGAGTTGCAAATCCTAGTTTTGCGCAGGGCGACAAAATTTCGTCCCTACAACAAGCTGCATGAAACTCAACTAGTCTGAATTCCTGTGCCACGGAGCAGGGACAAAATGACCTCAATTTTCAATGTCGCATCGTATGTGTTCTGCTCTCGCAAAGTGTCCCCGCTACAACATAGAAATAAATCAAATCCGCTTCCTCTGCACTAGTTTGTGTATTGTCCCCACAACATGGGCACACCTACACAAGAAGAGGCTTGTCCCCGCTTCACGAAGGCAGCAACATGGCCCCTAGTGTTTGCCGATTCTAAGTACGGATCATACTGTGACATTTTACTCCCTCAAAAGGCTACGTAGACTGCGAGCAGTCTCTTTCGTTTCCTAGCGTGCAATAGCCTGCAATCGGCAACTAAGTTCCGCGCGCTGAGGATTTCAGGAACAAAATTCGGCTACTCGTATGGCCTAAGAAACTTCGCCTACCAGGCTCACCTTCTCTTTACACACTCGAGGAAACGTAAGATTCGTGCCTTTGTGAACGTTTCATACTCTTTAACGAGGTAAAAAGGTAAAAATGAAGAATCATCCCTTAATTTATCACATACCAAAAACAAGCAGAAATAAATTTGTCGAGAGATTTTTTTATCTTCATAACTTGGATGAATTCACAATTAAAAAAGCTATGACAATGAGTTATTCTTTCATAATTAAACACGACAGAAAATATCCACAACAAGGTAGAAATTAAGTAAAAACACGAGCCACAAGTGAGTTTTCTTAGGTTATATGTGGAGAAGAAAAGAATAGTATATTTTGTTCAAAAGAACTTTATCACCAAAGAGATTCATATTGCTTTAGAAGTAAGAGTTATCTAAAGCAAATATAAGTTCATTTTTTTATACCAACTTAAATGATGTCTGTTACTTTCCAATGGTCGATACCATAGGAGTATCTCTTTTTGATTTCCTATTGTTTTAAGCTCCCTTAATATTCACTCTGGAGGGACAACGTTTAGACTATTTAGAAAACTTAGAGGAGTTAAAAAATAAAAAAGCTAAGACAATGAGTTATTCCCTCATAATTAAACACGACAAAAAATATTCACAGCAAGGCAGAAATTTAGTAAAAACACGAGCCGCAAGCGAGTTTTCTTACATTATATATGGTGAAGAAAGGAATCAGATGTTTTGTTGGGAAGAACTTTTTTACACCGAACTGAGTAGCATATTGCCTTGAAGTAACAGTTACCTAAAGCAAGAATGAGTTCAGTTTTTAAACCATGTTAAATGTGAGATCACGCCTGTTGCTTTCGAATGGTCGATATCTTTGCAGTATCGCTACTTTTGGCATCTTTTAACTATCAACCATACATCTTTTAGCTTTTTTCGAGGGTTGAGTGAGGAAAGAATTTGCAGTTGCTACAATCAAAACTTTGCGGTATCCAATTTTAGCTAGATTTCAATATGTTCGCTAATTTCGCGCCATGTTTTCAACACCTCTTCTTTAGGTAATTTCCAAAATGCTTCCAAATTTTTCCAACCGTTTCTGGCTGATTCCAACAGATATTCGTTGTCAGGGTCAAGATATTTGTTGGAGTAAGCTCCAATTACTAGCGACTGACAAAACCTTGCGGCTACAAGCACGTGGAGTAGTTCAAGTTCTTCTCCAGTCAGCGGGTTAACCGAGTAATATCCCGCGAAGAAATGTCCCGCCATGCGGGTATTCCCGCAGCTCAAGTCATCAGCAATATTCAGGATGTACATAAGGGAAATTGCCAGTTCAAAGATGCGGCAACTGTAGTTAATATCTCCAAAGTCTATGAAACCAAAACTGCTATCTGGCGTGACTATGATGTTGTTGTTATTTGCATCAGCGTGGATGGTCTGTTTGGGCAAGAGATGAAGTTTTGGTGCCACTTCTTTCTTGAAAGATTCACAAACCTCTCGAACAAGTTTGGAGCGATTTTGATCAGTGACCGCAGCTTCAAGGAGCTGACCAACTGTGGTCACAACATTTGACAGGCCCCACGCAAATCCTGGTCGATCAAGTTTCGGGCATGGAAAATCCTGTCAAACAAAGTCGAAGAATAAATTGATTAAATTGTGAATGGTTTGATCATGAACCCAGGAGTATCAGTAGTTCGTCTTGTGTGATCGTCCGGGTGAGGGTAGTTCTGAAAAGAACTGTTGTTGGGAACTGAGCTTTTGAGAAGTCATCTTTCTAACACTATCGACTGACAAACACTATTCACTTGACTCTGCAGATGACTTCCGCTCAGGTTGCCGAAACGTGGACTTCAGGTTAGGAGCGCGGGCCCCTTTCCCGAACAGCGGCTGGCAATCGAGCTTACAGTGTCGCCTACAGTATTATCACTTACCTCTAAATCTCGATCCAACCTCCCAACGGCCATCCCGGCATTAAACAGCAGTTCAGTGTTCAGCGGTATTTCATTTAATACTTTCCCCGGTACAAACGTCAGTAGACGCACATCACACACAAAGAACTTTTTTTCAGAATACTCTTTTCCATCATAAACCTCGATCCCGCTTCCCAGAATTCCTGCACTTTCGAAGCTCACGTTGGTATCCGCTAACACATTGTCATTTTTTAAGGCAGCACTTTCAGTTTCCAAGGTAACACCATCCGTTTCCAAGGCAACACTTCTAGGTTGGATGTTTCTAGGGATTTTGCATTTCACAAAATACGTATTGCGGATGGAAGGGACTGGGACGGGGCAGTGATAACCACGTGATTGAAGAAATAACATGGTGTTACATTGTAC